AGTAACCTCGAAACTCGAAAATAAATTAACAAGAAATATAACAATATCCTGTAACAATTATTAAGTGTCGGATAGAAATCGCCTCTTTCTGTCGATCTTATTAGGAATAATGAGACATTAATTACAATTACTAATAATATGTTGTAACAATTATTAGGTGATGGATAGAAGTCGCCTATTTCTATCGATCTTATTAGGAATAATGAGACATTAATTACAATTAGTAATAATATCCTGTAACAATTATTACGCGATGGATAGAAGTCGCCTCTTTCTATCGATCTTATTAGGAATAGAGAAAGATTAATTTCAATTACAAATAATATCCTGTAACAATTATTACGTGATGGATAGAAGTCGCCTCTTTCTATCGATCTTATTAGGCAAAATAAGAGATTAATTAAATTTACTAATAATATCCTGTAACAATTATTACGTGATGGATAGAAGTCGCCTTCTTTCTGTAGATGTTATTAGGCACAATAAGAGATTAATAACCATGATTAATAATAATATATTTTCTGATTCCAACGAATACTCGTTTGACACTTTTGTAATAATGCTCGTTGTAGTAGAGCCTTTGTAATCGCAGATACAACTATAGTAACGCCGTTGAACACTGCTTGTGTCAGACGCCTTCGAATAACACTCGTACTAATAGTACTTGCTCGATAATACTCTCTTGAATAGTAATCCGTATAGTGATCCGAATAGAGAAATAGTATAGTGAATAGAGTAGAGAATAGCGTTCCGTATAGGATAGAGTAGAAATAAGGATCCGAATAGTAATAGAGGATAGGCTAGAAATAGCGATCAATTAGATACAGGCTACCTCCCATATATGCATTTCCTCTATGGTCACGTGGTCTAAATTCAATAATGGGATCACCTGTGTTTGCTCACTGGCAATCTATGTTCAAACTCAAGTGTCGGCAGTGACACTTTATTCCTATATAACACAATAACTAATAATAAAATAGAATAAACATAACAATATCCTGCAACAATTATTATGTGTCGGATACAAGTCGATTTCTTTCTGTCGATCTTATTATGCGCAATAAGATTAATTACAATGACTAATATTATCCTGTAACAATTATTACGTGACGGATAGAAGTTTCCTTCTTCCTGTAGATCCTATTAGGCACAATGAGAGATTAATAACAATGACTAAAAATAAAATATAAGATATATAACAATATCCTGTAACTATTATTACGTGATGGATAGAAGTGACTTTCTTTTTGTAGATCATATTAAGCACAATGAAAGATTAATAATAATGACTAATAATAAAATATAAGAAATATAACAATATCCTGTAACAATTATTACGTGATGGATAGAAGTCGCCTTCTCTCTGTAGATCTTATTAGGTACAATGAGAGATTAATTACAATTGTTCTAAAGGTCTCATCATTTTACAGTTAAAATGGCCTATGTCCCACGGTCTATGGCGGAGGCATATTTTGGCGCATGTCTTTTCCTCAGAAAATCTACTTCTATCATCAGCAATATACGCAGGCGAGATTTAAACAAAACATTCCAATTTCAACAATTTTACCAAAGTTACAGAATGTAATCTTTTAGAGTCTGTCTATATTTCTGAGATGAGTTATTATGTACAGTATTTACATTAGTCGGACTATTGTCCTCATCTTTGTCGCCATATTTGTCACAACGTTTCGGCCGTTGTACGCTCCGGACTTCTTCAGGTGGTTGGAATTTCGAACTGAACCCTTTATTTCGATCACTGGGGTAGACTGTTCTAGTTCCACATGCCATGTTTGATGGATGTCAGTTATCAGTTATCTCCTGCTAATTTTCCTTCTGAAAGTTCTCCACTGCCTTAACCGGGTATTAAACTCACAATCTTTGGGTCCTGTCACTGGATCTAAACAACGCCTTTATCCACTGTGCCATGTGTCCTTGTAATCTTTTATTAATTTTTTTTTTAAGATGCCAAAATTATAAACCTTTCGATTATACTCAATATCGTCATCAAATCGTCCGTTCGCCAGCTTCTAAAATCTGCATAAATCTCCATGCAGATTGCCAACCAATACCTCTATCACGTTCAGCCAATCAAATTATTCTATGATCGAATCATTGGTATAACTAACCGGGTTTTAGAAGACATTTCGCTAGCAACAGACAGCACCAATATTTTCTGTTCTTATTTGTAACAACTTTACAGAGAAGCGTCTTATGGTATTTTATGTGTAATCTTACTACGTTCTTTTTTCCCCAGTGAGATGCAGTACCAACCCCCCGCACCGGTCTACAGCTTCATTTCCTGCAGTTTCAATTACCCAGGCAATTCCAGAAATAAACAATTCATAAATTTTACTGTGAAATGGTCCCCAAGCGAAAGATTCCTAATGCTATTAATTCGGATATGCCCCAGAGAAACCGTACAGTAATTCCGTTACGTGAAATGGGGAAAGTTTTTATGAGCTAAGAAAAATCATACGCTAAGTTTGCTAAGATCTACAATAAGAAGGAATCATAAATAACATTCATAAATTGCCCCCCCCTTTATCTTTTTATAATTATTCTATTTTATTAGTAGTTGTTCTTGTTAATCGCTTATCCTATCTAATAAGGTCGATGATAAGAACGAAACTTCAATCCGTCACAGAACTTTTATCACAGTATATTGTTATAATGGTTCTGTTTTTATTATTATTATTATTATTTATTGTGGCTAATCTCTTATCGTGTTTAATCGACTACTCATCACATAACTTTTAATTCAATATATTATTATTATTGTCCATGGCACCCCGTGTCGGTATAATATATTAACAAACTTGTCTCACTAGAACAATTACGACTGAGTAGCGAGTTCGATACTCACTGGGTGCTCCATTATTTATACCTTGTGCCACATCTAAGCTACGCTTGGAAAATCACTATTGGGAACGTCGAGGCGGTGTAATATTTAGCAAGCTTGTCTCGCTAAAACAATTACTACTGAATAGTGAGTTCGATCCTTACTGGGTGCCACCCCACTTTGGGCTTTGTGCCACATCTAAGCTACGCATGGAAAATTTTTATTGGGCACCTCGAAGCGGTGTAATGGTTAGCAAGCTAGTCTCACTAGAACAATTATGACTGAGTAGTGAGTACTATCCTCACTGGGTGCTCCATACTTTCAACCTTGTGCCACATCTAAGCTACGCTTAGAAAATCATTCTGAGGCCACCTCGGCGTGGTGTAATGGTGAGTAAGCTGGTCTCACTAGAACAATTTACGAATGAGTCGTGAGATCGATCCTCACTGGGTGGTTCACACTTTCGGCCTTGTGCCACATCAGAGCTATGCTTAGAAAATCATTTTGGTCACTTCGAGGCGATGTAATGGTTAGCAAGCTGGTCTCACTAGAACTATTATAACTAAGTAGCGAGTTCGATCCTCACTGGGTGCTCCACACTTTAGGCCGTGTGCCACATCTAAGCTAAGCTTGGAAAATCCCTATTGGGCACCTCGAGGCGGTGTAATGGTTAGCAAGCTAGTCTCATTAGAACAATTAGTGAGTACGATCTTCACTGGGTGCTCCATACTTTCAACCTTGTGCCACATCTAAGCTACGCTTAGAAAATCACTGTTCTTATAATTGTTTTCTTTTAATCAGTTCATCCCAAGCAAATCTATGCAGCCACTAAATGTAAAAGAATATAACAAAAACAGTATCAAGGAGAGGAAACAATAAAAGAAGAGTAATCAAAAATACATTAGATAGCGATTGGCATTGCATTTAGATTTTTGAAGATCAAAGTTGACTCGCAAGCAGGAAGCCGGAAGAGAATTTCATAAGCGTGAAGTGTGAGAGAAAAAACTGATAGCATAAAACTTACGGTTGCATCTAGCCACTTAAACTGTAAAATCATCAGATTTTTACAACTTCTATTTTATTATTAGTCAGTGTTGTTCACTTGTAAAATTTATAGTAAAAACTAAACTTCTATTCGTCATCATCATCATCAGCAGCAGCAGCAGTATCAGCAGCATTCACTTGACTGGCTCAATCGTCAGGGTTGGGACCTAAGGGCAAAAGAAACCGACTTCTCTTCTTCTTCTTCTCCTTCATTATACTTTCAGTGGGCTTTCAAATGCCTTGGTTGCACCCATCTCCCTACCAAGATCTTGCCCGAAGACCACGGAATATGGTGTGGGTCACCATAGGCCCATGCACTAGACCCTCAGGTTTTGAAATATTGTCCTTCTCCTATAGAACCCAGACTGACCTGCTATTTATCCATAGCTGGGGTGCCGGTAGAAGAGATGGATCCATACCTTTCCCAAGAGTAAGTGATTGTGTTGCGTATTTGAATCAACCCACAACAAAGAAAAAATCGAAACATCTGTTTAAATATAAAAATGTAAGATATTTTTATTTTCATGTTCTTTATAAAAAAAATATTTTTAGTGTGTAGGAGTGTTCTGACAGTCCTTGTTTGTAGTTGTTTGTTAAGATGAAACGAAATGTGATTTTTTATCTTATATCTGAGAAAGGAGTAGCAAGGTAGAAAATGAGAAGGAAAGTGTAAGTGTCACGTAGCTTGGTGAATAGGTGAATAGTTAAGCGAATTTCTTTTAAGCTAACAGTGTCGTGACCCGTTGGTGGGAAAAATGTTAAATATTTATTTTCAAAGCATTAATTTATTAACAGGAAGAATTCACCGACTCAGAAACCATTTTTTTCGTGTCTGAGTATCTTGGTGTTTATCTCTGTCTTCGCTCTGCAAATGTAATGAACTCGACTGGAATTCGAACTCGGCTCTCCCGTTCCTCGATCCGCTATCCATTATTCAACTATGGCTCCATTCTTCACATAACCTTTATTGACGTATATTGTTTTAATTGTTCAATTTTATTATCAGTAATTATTGTTAATCTCTTATTGTACCTTATATGATCTACCTTAAGTATCTTCTATACGCCTCATAACTTTTATTATCATTTGTTGCTACAGATTTTCACTTTTATCATTATTATTTTCGATGGTTGAAGCATCTCAGTCGCATATACAACAGCGAAGGATACGCTGTCTTGAGAACGGGACACAAGCTCCAGAAAGAGCAAAATCTCCAGCGCTTCGTTAGATAGATGTTTGCGAACGTGACCTGAAGGCCAGCAGTATAAAACCGGCAGCCGAGGAAACCGACGAAGTTGAGCAAATCATTTAGAGACTTGCTGTGAAAGCTGGTACCCAGCCGCCGGAGAAGAGGGGACCATTGGTAAGACAAAAGAAAACAGACGATAGATGACAGAACTGTTACCCATAAAACCAGACACGGCTTTCACATGCAATCACTGTTCCAATAGAGGAGGCCAGTTTTAGAACTGTGGTATAGTACTGAATTTAAAAGTTGGGGTTTCACACGATAAATAATGACTCAAAACATATTTCTCCAAATCCTTACCGTTTTTTTTATTTGTTTTTTGGGTTTTTTTTTTAAGGAAACGAGTTTAAAGATTAAGTTTATATTCAAAATTGGAACGTTGAAATTTCATTCCGGTGATCAATGAAACCTCTATAGCCTTATAAAATTTATAAATCCCTGAAAATTTACATACTGTATATGAACAAGATATAAGGCACACACATATCAGTACTAAATCATTGTCCGTTCAAATAAGACCTTTATTCAATTCGAAGGGAAATTTTTCTGGACAATTTTGCTATATTATAATATAATATATTATACAGTTCAGTAGCTTTACTGCTATTTTCAATAAAGAATGCTAATTTAAAATATTTTTTCATATAATTTGTGCTTAGCACTATTATTGTGTTATATACACTTTTTTTCTATTTTTTATTTTTATGATTTATGATTTAACAAATAAACAAATCTTATTCATTGAGTAACCTTTTTGCAAAATTTTACAATTTCTTACAGTTTTTACTTATCAAATACAGTAAAAATTACATATATTGTTATTGGTGATTCATAATTGGAATTCAAGTTTAAATATATTTTCCATTCAATGTATCTAATACAGAAATGTTACCTTTTATTTATCCTTTAAATAGTAAAAGTTTGTAAGCAAATGTCTGCGGAAATTAGATATTTCTGTTATTTTTTTCCGCCAATCTTTAAAACTAAATCCTCAGAAATTGGTAAAAGTTATAAATTTAATTTTTGTTTTCAGTACTTATCCACCAAGCCTCAGCTTGCATATTAAATGCAAAGTTAATTTTCCAAAAGAAGTGAAAAAAATGAAATTTGCTCTACTGTTCCAAGATCGGTCAGCACAAACGCAACAGCCGCTACAACTTGAACAATTCATGGTGCATATTTCATTGTCTTACGAGACAAAAGCATGTCAATATATATATATATATATATATATATATATATATATATATATATATATATATATATTACTATTATCATTATTATTATTATTAATAGTAATAATAATCTTATCAGTATAATAAATTATACTCGTCCGGAAAACCTTCGGTGTCTTGATTTGCAAATAATCAAACCAATACCAAAGGGGAAAAAAAGGTATAAAAAAGAAAGAACCAAGAACATGTACGTTAGCCGAAAATAATCGTCTAGCATCCAAGTCCAGATCCCAAAGAAAAAAAAAACGATACGAGTAGGCAAAGAAAAAGAAATAAAGTGTTCGATACAGTAAGTAGAGCAGACCCATTAAACCTAGAGAGCCAGACAAACCTACCAAGGTTTCACCTAAGGGATCGTCAAGACTATATAACTATAACTATATTACTATATATATATATATATATATATATATATATATATATATATATATATATATATATATATATATATATATATATCTTCGTGTACCTAATCTAATTTGTAGAACAGACTCTCGTCGGGGTGTTTTCCCGAGAACTACAATCTTGACCTCAAGTTTTAAGTTAACGGCTATATTTCCTACATAAACGCATGAATCACACTTATTGTTTTCCTACGCTGCTACAACACTGCAGATTAATTCCTCTATCTTGAGCCTTGTATTGAGTGAACACTAAAACAATCTATAAAGTAAACAATCATAGTTTTCTCTGAATATAAAACATTGTAGATATAAAAACGATATAAGAATGCTCTTGAGCGAAAAGTCAGCATTCTGTACTAAGTGTTATCAAAAAGGCAAACCAAGATGAACGTTTACAAAACAGAAATTATAATCTGGAATCAAAATGAGAATAGACGTGGCAAATACTCTTAATCCATCACAAAAAAATGTGGAATTAATCTATTTTAACAGTTCAAATACACTAAATAAAACCTCTAAGAGGCAAAGTCTGTTACTGAGTGTGAAAGAATATGAGAAAAAGGAAACATTATTAAGTAGAGAGAACATTAAAAGAACAGGAATTATGAAGACGAAAGATAACAATTGACATTGCATTTGAATTTTTGAAGATCAAAGTTGACTGGAAAGCATGGAAGTGAAAGAGAAGAAACTCTTATCATAGACCTTACGGTTGCATTTAGCCATCTCAATTGTAAAATGATCGGACAAATCTCGTACAGTGTTTTAATTCGTACATTTAAGGTACCAAAGTGGAAAGCTCACCAGATCGATTAATGTGAAAATATAAGAAAATAATATCTGAAAATATTTATAAAAAAAGGCACAGCGAAGCTACGTTATGGCCGTAGGAATGTGTCTGAAACCGGGTTGCCAAATCAGAACCAATAAGACTGCAGATTCTTTGTATTTTATCATTAATCTCTAAATATATAGTAGCAGAACAGATATAACAAAATATCTTAGTATAAGGAATTAGGTAATAGAATACAGAATAAACTACGCCAGTGATATTTTTCCAACACTGCAATGTGTTGCAAGACTAAAACAATAGCCTCGGCATATCTATCATATATTCATTGGGAACTCCCGTAGATTTCGATGTATGTGGGTCAAGCAACTCAGTTCCCAAGAAACGACAGCCGGCCAACTGAGCCGAATGCAGAGATTTGACACACCGTGTGCCACAAAGTCATTCCTGAAATTTACCCATAGCTGGGGAAAGAAGAAGAGGATTCGCATCTTTCCACTGACGAGCTAATACCCTTTCCCAATACCCTTGAATTCGAACTCGGATCTCTAATTCCTCAATCCATTACCCCACTGCGCCTCCATATATATATATATATATATATATATATATATATATATATATATATATATATATATATATATATATATATAAAGAGAGAGAGAGACAGACAGATAGATAGATAGATATATAAGTATAGGATTGGTGAATATGGAATGTCAACACCATCACTTGATAAGACACCAGAAGTGTTGAAACAAAATGGCTATTTTTGTAGTGATTTTATAACATATTTATGTTATAATTTTCGAATAAATAATTATACATATATATATATGTATATATATATATATATATATATATATATATATATATATATATATATATATATATATATATATATATATACAAATATATATATATATATCATATATATATACAATATATATATAAATATATATATATATATATATATATATATATATATATATATATATATATATATATATACGCACACACATGCAACAAATAAATGATTAAATAGTAACACAAACAAAAAACTTTACTAAATAAAATAAGGCTGAAAACTTCCAGCAGCAGCAATAACTAAAATGGATAGCACATTTAACTCGAAGAGAAAATAATGATAATAAGCAATAAGTTTATGTACCGTCCAACATTTAAATAGAAAACCGGTATCAATATTCGAAAGATCAATAACAGTGGAAAGATATTTTCAATAAATCAAAATTGTTTTAAGAGAACGATTGTATAAACACGAACCGACAATAATATTAACTGCTCGCCCAATGAATGTCGAACATTTCCTGGATGGAATTGGCTAATTCCACCATTTATCGTTTACTAATGTAATCGTACAGTCAAAAATAACGGAAAATTTTGGAAATAATGAGATGTCATGAAAGAAGAGTCTTGAAACAATGCATTGAGATTCAATACGACCGAGATACTAAAATAGAAGCCAATGAACTGTTTAATTAATCCGTTCCCTTTGTATCTTTTAGATGCTCATTGCTATCTAGGATTCATTGATTACTCCTGGTAATACTGAAATAGATTTTTGTTCAATATCTTTTTTTTTAAATCTTGTTTTTAATATAATAGTGAAATTGAAATATCTATGGGAAGAAAAAGATTTGCAACTTAACGACAAAGACGGCGATGACGAAAAGCCTATTTCAACTTGAAGCAAGATGATCACTTAATAGACAAAGGTATCTGAGTGCCTCACATGAAAGGCTTAAATAAATATGATTGCAATCTAAGAAACGCAGGAAGAAAGGAACTGATTAATTAAATGGTTCATTTTGCCCTGGAAATAATTTTGTCTAAATGCAGATAAATATTTTATTCGTATAGATTGGTAAAACACCTAAAGGAAGTAATAAATAATAAATTTAATAACTCTCCATATTTCTGAGATCAGGTACTATGTGCACTATTTACAATATTCGGACTATTGTCCTCATCTTTGTCGCCATATTTATCACAACGTTTCGGCCGGTGTACGCTCCGTCCTTCTTCAAGTGGTTGGAATGTCGAACTGAACCCTTTATTTCGCTCACTGGGGTAGACTGTTCTAGATCCATGTGTCATATTTAATGGATGTCAGTTATCAGTTATCTTCTGTTAATTCTCCTCTCCAAGTTCTCCATTGACTTAACCGGGTATTTAACTCCCACTCTTTGGGTCTTGTCCCTGGATCTAACTAACATGTGTAACATGTGTCCTTGAGGATATCTGCGAATGAATTTGTGGGTATTATAAACCTAAACATGGCGCGTGGAACTAGAACAGTCTGCCCCAGTGAGCGAAATAAACGGTTCAGTTCGACATTCCAACCACCTGAAGAAGGCCGAAGCGTACAATGGCTGAAACGTTGTGATAAATATGGCAACAAAGATGACGACAATAGTCCGAATATTGTAAATAGTGTAAATTTACTAAGTTAATTTGATTTATCTCCCTTTCTAACGCAGGAGGAACAGAAAATATATAAATAAATATACGTCAATACATATGGTTTGATTATTCAATTTTTTTCAGATTTCTTTCTGTGACATATTAAATCCTCGACGTATCGCATAGTTATACAAATTTAGTACAGCAAATACGAGAACTGAGCGTAGGATATGCTGTCCTAGGAACACTTTTACCCAACATAGCAAGATACGACAGAACCTAAATATTAAGTTGTA